CTCCTCAAAAAGAGTCAGCTCGGATGCTCTAATGGGTGTACTATTGCTGCCTAATCTTAAGGCCAAGCTGAATCTCTAAGATGTGCTAGTCGTTGATGACAATGTTACTTCACCATCAAAGCTATGGTTTGTAAATCGAGTATAGATCAATAAGACTGCAGCAACACTCTATTGCCAATAGCTAATTTTATCCCTCCAAAGTATCTCGTCATTGTATACACCTTTGGTTTCACCAACTCACATTTCAACATAAGCAGATCAAATTTGATTGTGTGCTCCATAGAAGAATCTCTTGGGAGCAAAAAGTTAGGTTTTAGAAACGTGGTCGATGATGCAAGAAAATGTACTTACGTTGTATCTCTTTTTCATCTAAAGTTATATGATAATCTTACTTTTTTCTCCTGTAATCAAAAATGTTTCAAATTCTTCCACTACAAGAAAGCATTCTTCATGAGTTTGATGGTTACCAAATTCACACATTTAATTTGAGGAACATCTTTGTACACAAAATTATAACACTATTTGGAGTCACTCAATGAATTCATCCGTATTCTAGTGTTCTATCCATCAAGTCAGACTTCAACCTAAAGTAATTCTCTTTTCTCTGATATTCAATGATAAATCATCAAAGTATGGAAATTTTTATCACTGAAAATTTTCTAATTGAAAAAGTTAAATTTCTCCTCTCAATCTAGTGAATCATCATTACGACTATGGCCTCAAGTATGAAAATATCTTGCTTTAGATATCTTCCAATGTAAGTTCCTAAACACCCCTTTGCATGCTTTCCCTTGATAGCATGATGTCTCTTTCTCTCAAATAGGATTATAGGCAAAATAATAAGGTTGTTCTAGGTGGACGAAGGTGAGAAAGTGAGGATAGATGAATTAAGCAGGGTGGATTAGGGTATAAGAGTGAGGAAAATAAATCCTTAAAATTTCATATTTTCATAACTAAAAACTTTATGATGGAAGAGGTTGATTTTATCCTCTCAATCCAGCAAATCACCATTATAGTTATGGGCAACCTCTCCAAGTTCTCTCCTCTCAAATACGGCAAATTTTTGTTGTGGTTGAAGGATTTTATTAAAAGTTCTTAAATATCTCTTTGTATGTTGTTCCTTGACGGCATGATAACTCTCTCTTGAATAGGGTTTTGACCAATATAAGTAGGCACTCTTATGTGGCCGAAAGGTGAGAGAGTGGATAGATAAATTAAGTAATATAGATTTAGGTTTGGAATGGGGAAAATAAATCTCTAAAGTTTCAGATTTGCCATACTCTAATACCAAATAACATTAATCTAAGATAGTCAGACGGCTTTGGAAGATCAAGATATAAGTCAAGAGAGTAATAATAAAGAGACAAGGTGGAAAATGGAGACAATAGAGGAAGAATCGACGAAACGGATAGTGGTCGGATAGCAGCTACAGTGGGTCAGCAATGAGGATAGGGGGCATTGGAGGGTTGTCGAACGTCCAGAAGAGATCACCACCCAAATCAAATAAGGTTACAATCACACCAACTAAGAAAGATCAAGGAAACAACACTCACGCAAAAAAAAATTAGAGAAAATAATCTCTATGGAATAAAATCAAAGAAAACCAATCCCAAATAAATCCAAAACAAATATATAAATAGTTCCAAAGCAAAATAACCTAATGTTAATGCTAATTTAGGAAAAAGGAGCTAAAAGGGTTGGCTTACAACCCTAGGAAGTTGGAACAAGAATCGAAAGCAAATAAACTAGAATTTCCAGTTTATAGAATACCTAACCCTATTTGTGTCCCACGTCCTACATTCCACATCATGAGCGAGCAATGAACTATCGGATAGGATGATATGATAGTCTTATTCTAATGGTTTACTTTATTATGCAACCTAAAAACACATTTCTTGGATTGAACTTTGACACACTAAGAACCATCTAATTATTACCTAAATGACAATATATTAACTCATTCATATGTAATAAATTGTAATCAAAATCTCAAATTTTGGGTTTGAATGAAAGTCCGACCAGATCCATACTGAAACTCAATTAGGCTAAATTTTGTAAATGGACCAACCCTTAAATCTATTTGGAAAGAAGATTGGACTCTCTTGAGATGATGCACCAGAGCCTCAATGTTTGTTTTATATATATATGACTAGATTAATGAGCCCGCTTTTGGGCAGATGAACCAAATGTCTGCATGCTTTCTTAATTCACTTGAATAAAGTTCAATCAAAATCATGCAAACTTAAAAAATTATAATTTAACTTATTCTAAAACTTATCAATCAAAAAAATTAAACCTGATTTTCATTTTTTTATTTAGAATTCATGAAATGAAAATTTAACTACTCATTTTATTATTAAAAGATTTGTAAAACCATGAAAATAAGAATATTATTAGATTTACATTTTACAAATATTTATCATTTATTTTCATTTTTGCTGGTTTCCTACTTGAAGACTCGTGAAATATTATTTAAATACCCAATTAAGCAAGAAAAAAGAAATCAAGTTTCTTTGTCCAAAAACCAATTCTAAACTCTTTGTCCAAGAACCAATCCTACTGTCTGCTCGAAACATCCCTCCTTTATCCTTCCATGAGTTCTCATACCCTCTCCAACAGTCCAATAGGTCTCTTACGCTCATTAAGTTCATAGCAGCCCTCTAGGAAAATCAGTGGCAACATTTTCCTTCTATAGCAATTTTCAACAGCCAAAACTCCTGAAAAAACCCTTTAAATAAGGATATCAAAACCTTCACTAGCCTCTCCTTGTTGTTTATTGGAGTGGTGATTGATTGACAGAGATCTACAAGAGCAGCAAGGATTGGATTCCCACTCGGCGACAGGCAAGAAACTCAAGGGAAAAAGTTAGACCTTCAAAACAATAAATCTCTCTTATAGTAGCTCTAAAATTGCATGAATTTTGCAATTAGGATCCAGCTCAACAGACATACTTTTATATCGTTATTTTAAAGCACTTCTAAATTGTGCTGAATATATTGGAGATATCGAAATAACTTAAATAAAAATCCTGATTATGATGGTATTTACAACACATACAAAATTTTTTATACATAGATATCACAATAAGGATGACTTTAATCTTTTAAATTAATGCTTTCAACAACTTACTTTATCAGGCTCCCATGACCATCCATCCGGACCCTTGACTTTGACAATAAATGAACCCTATGCACGAACAAAATATTAGAAACAACACAAGTAAAATAATAAACAACAATCAAAATGATAGAAAGAGGATCAAAGCCAAAAAAAAAACTTTTACATAACTAAAAAACAAAATAGGTCCATTAGACCTTGAGAACTTTCTAATCAAATAATTGATTGGAAAGGGGTCTCAAAACCACAAACAATGCGAATTTTCTTTTATCTGATATGTCGTGTATCATAATAAATTAGCAGTTATATCAAAACAAGAAAAATAAATCACAATGTACCCATTTCTTTGCTTGAAAACATCTACTTGGAACTTAGCAAGCAAAGGAGCATTATGAGGCAAAAAACAAATAGTGGGAAAAAAAATGATTTATAACAAATATAAGGATGATAAATGATTTTTTTTCACTTGGATTCAAAAACATACGAGGGTAAAGATAATAACAAATTTAGGCTCTTCTACTCTAAAAGTTCGATGACAGAAGGCATTCAGGTTATGATAATGAACTTGTTCAAAGATATTACATATTAAGATGAATCAAAAAACTTTGCTATAGCATTAGTTGTAACTACAACAAAACATCAGCAAGCCCTAAAATGGTTTAAATGAACTGTACACTTGTACCAGCAATGAATGCTATGCATGATACAAGTGCTGCAAGTATTATTAAAACAAAGTATTAATAAAAATGTATCAATCAAGTAATTCAATACAATACTTGGTCTTTTATTAAGCTTCATGCATAAAGAACAGTAAAAATTTCCTGCTCAATAGAGGCATGGGAGCCATTCAACCATTTGAAGAACTGGCACATTCTAGAGTAAAGCTAAAGAATCTATCCCTAAGATTCTAGATAATTATAGTAAGAAAACAGATGATACATAAAGAACCTCATTTAAATCATGCACAAACAATTGTTTATTGTCAAATATATGGTAACACCCAAAATGTCAGAATGAGAAAAATTAAGAAAATCATAGATGATCAACTAATATATTCAAGGGTATAGAAATGCCAGCATTATGTTGACTTAAAATCTCGAGAAGGCGGTTTGAGATCCCAATGTAAAACCTTACTAGAATATTTGAGTTCTTAAAAAAGTAAGAAAGTGGAAGGAAAAGGAAAACCTTGTCATAAACTGGAATAAAATAGTAACCATTCGGGGCACATTGTGTCCTGTCCTTCACCAGCCCATCAATTGTTTGAAGTTCAACCTAAATAAAAAACATAAGGTAATTTTTTGAAGCTTTAAAAAATTTTAATGAATAGCAAGCTTGAGAAGATATGAGAGACAAGAAAATTGTAATACCAAGTAGTTATAAAAAATTTACATTATCGATGGCCTCACACACATGCAGAAAATAACAACAACAACAACAACAACAAAGCCTTAATCCCACTACGTGGGGTCGGCTACATGAATCCTGTTTCTCCATTGTGTTTTATTTAGTGTCATATTTTCATTTAGTTCTAATAAATTAAGATCATTTTTTATACAATAAGCCAAAGTCTTCCTAGGTCTGCCTCTACCTTTCTTAACATAAGTCAAATCTAAAACATCTACTCTCCTAATCAGATCATCAGATGGTCGACGCTTAATGTGACCAAACCATCTAAGACGACTTTCTCTAATTTTGTCCGCCACAGGAGCTACACCAACCCTATCACGGATATAATCATTTGGCATTTTGTCTCTAAGTGTAAAGTCACTCATCCACCTAATCATTCTCATCTCGGTAACACTTAACTTAGTATTATGTTTCTCTTATAAAGGCCAACATTCAGTGTCATAGAGCATTGCAAATCTCATCACTGTCTTATAAAATTTTCCTTTCAGTCTAAGCGGTACTTTTCTATCACACAAAAGGCCCGAAGCATTCCTCCACTTCAACCAACCAACTTGAATTCTCCTATTAACATCCCCATCTATATCACCATCGCTTTGAACAACAGACTCGTGATATCTGAATCGTTCACATTATTTAAAAATTTGATCACCCAAAGTTATACTTCTGTCACTAGAGCTACTACTACTAAAATTACATTCCATGTATTCAGTGTTAGTTCTACTCAAATGAAGGTCTTTAGACTCCAATGTAGACCTCCAAAATTCAAGTTTTTCCTAGGCTTTTTCTCTTGTCTTATCCACGAGAAGGATATCATCAGCAAAAAGCATACGTCAAGGTACATCCTCTTGTAAATGTCCAGTAAGACCAT